TTTTATATATATATATATATATATATATATATATATAGTGGTTTTATTTTCATGGGTCTCAGTAAATCTTACTTTCCTTTAGACCTAAAAGTTCCAGAAATGCCACTTAACCTTAAATTCATTGATATAGAAGAAGACAAAGGCTTCTTGGCAGACATACTCTTAGTTCAATGATTGGGGCCTGGGAACCAAACTTTCAAAGATTAATGGAATAATAGTGGAATTGCCTAGATTTAATGATGTAAATGCTCATGAGAATTCAGCAGGAAGTGCCATCTAAGGAGATGGTTAAAATTTGATTAAATTCCATCTTATAGGAAATAAAGAATGGGGAAGAGTTTAGACAGAGAAATAGGGGTTGGGAGTTTTGGAAGGGAGTTTTTGATCTTTTCAATCCATGTATGTTTCTTTAAGTATAAATTCCTCTGGATAACTGAGGCCTTCGGGTGTATCATGTTCATATAATAGGCCTTGGGCATTTCTGAATTTGTGAAACCTATATAAAGTGCAATTTTGATTAACCAGAAATGTTTATAGATTCATTGATTGACAGAGATTGTGGCTGTAGATTGAATTTACAAGGGAGAAACAACATAATTACAAATGATAGTTGGCCCAGGAGAAAAAGAGGAGTCAACATATATGGCTTATGTGATTATTACCGAATTATTAAGGGGCCATGTGCCGTCTGCGTGTTGTTTGACCAGGCTTATGCTGTCATATTGAAGTGGAGGGCAGTGATTTTGACTGCCAGTGCTTTGCTTTTGACCTTGGGTGAGCTGTTTTTTACTCTTCCTGTTTCTCAGTTTTCGCTTGTGTAAAATGGCAAGAGTTAGAAAGTTTTGGATGTTTCTCCCAGATGTGAAAGTCTTCATAGGTAGTTCAGCTTGATGCATTGTATTTTGTGTGATAAGGAACTTAAGAATGCTATGCATTTCAGAGATATTTCCTTTAGCGTACACGGCTTATTTTCCCAAACATGTTTGGGATGTAGGCCAGTGTATGGAGGGTTGGAATAAAGCTTTGGAAAATGAACAAACCAGAAAGATAAATGTTGATGAGCCATTGGACTAGCCTCTTCTCCCTTCTGTCTGGTGTTGTCTGCTTGGGGACACGCAGCTTGGATCGCACTGCACACATGGTTGGTTGGGGTGCTTGTACATACTTGCTTGTGACACACATCTGGAGGCGGAGCACTCGAGTTTGCACACTTGGTGTGGTTCTCCAGAGTTTGCACACTTCTGTGGAGCCGACAATCATAGCAGCAGTGCCTGGAATTGTACTTAGTGATGTGGGGTGGCTGGGGATTGAACCTGTGGTGTCACGCATTAAGGTGGGATCTCTACCATGGAGCTATATTCCTTCTTTCCCTTAGTAAAACAGTTTGAGAGAGAGAGAGGGATGTATGTAGCTTTAATTGCAGAAAGTTGCTCTAATTGTTATATTTTACTGTTAGTCTCTTCTATGCCTCATTTATAAATTAAACTTTATTATAGGTTTGGACTGGAGTGATAGCACAGCAGGTAGGGCGTTTGCCTTGCATGCGGCCGACCTGTGTTTGATTCCTCTGCCCCTCTTGGAGAGCCTGGCAAGCTACTGAGAGTATCTCGTCCGCACGGCAGAGCCTGGCAAGCTCCCTGTGGCATATTTGATATGCCAAAAACAGTAACAACAAGTCTCACAGTGGAGACGTTAATGGGGCCCGCTCGAGCAAATCGATGAACAACGGGAGGACAGCACACAGCCAATGCTACAGTGCTCTAGGTCTGCTGTGTATAGGGAAATGCATAGAATATATAAAATTCGATGCTAATCTGTCCAGCGTTCGCTGGGGATCTTGACTGTATCTCCTACGACTTAGGGACCAGTGGTCCCCAGTTACAGCCATTGAATGATGGCGTATGGTTGCTTTGGCATTAAGACCGCAGGTTTCAATGGTAACCCTAAGTGATCGGCCTAACGCAAAGCTCGCCTTTCTTAGAATACGCATTCTGGTCTTTCTAGACTCACACGTCTGCCTCCGCTTTGCTTCTGTCTTGGGATTTCCCCCACATATATCTAGCAGGCAGATTGATCTCTTTCCCTTTGACGCCCGTATTTCCCCCCTCTGCTTTTGGGTGTTGTGTGTTTTAGATCTTTGTGGTCAGTCTTTGGCTGGGGGTGGCAGGTTAATTTCCCTTTCTCCTGGCTTCGCCCCCGTCTTGTAGTTTATTTTACACCAGCTGTTGTGTCACTTTGGTGCCACTCCACGTTCACACTGCCGCCCAAGTGAGGGGAGGTTTTGGTCACCCGCTGAGTCAGAGATTCTTTGGCCTCTTCCTTCAGACACGCCACCAGTCTACTTTCTGCAACGTTGCCTCTAGTGGAACCTTCTTTAGTTGCTCCCCCTTCCTCCTTGTCCCTAATGCCACAACTGCCTGGAGCTGTCCTGGTTCCCATTTCCACCTTCTCCTCCTCCTCTCTGCTTTAATCTTCCCCCTTTTACTCCTTTTGTTGGCTCATGCCTTTCCACTCCACAGTATGTTGTCCAGACGTCTAGAATGAAAGTCACAAGATTGCTGTGGTCTGTGCTCGCTCACTTTCCTCCATGACAGCCGAGCGGCTGTGTGTGAAGGCTCGTGGCATTCTCTTTACATGTTCCCCTGTCTGCTCCTCACCCCACCTCAGGGAGCTTCCTGATGAAGGACGAGAACCTGCTGTTGGACGCAGGCTTTTAAAGTCCAAAGCAGTGGTCAGTGCCCTCACCGTCTGTCTTGGATGCTTGGCAGAGATTCTAGGTGGGATGGCTCTACTTCTTCAAGAAACCAGGTGTTCCTTCCTTGCAGAGATGATTCATGTAGCGGGATTTTTTTTTAATCATTTGATAAAGCGTTTTACATTTGCTACAAGGAAATGTGATGCAATAATGTGCTTGGTACGGATTAAAAAAAGGAAGACCAGGTGGCAGAGCTCGTGGTACCTTCTCTTAGGTTGTGCAGCCGACCATGGCCATGATGGGCTCTTGTTGTTAACACTTTTCTTTCCTTTCAAGAAAACAGATGGAAAAAAAAATACCTGAGTACTTAAAAACATTGTTCAAATGAAACACGGGTGCTGTTAAAAGTTGTACTATGTTCTGCCTGTTCATTCCCATTTAGTCACTTTTGCTGTAGTTTCAGAGCATTTTATTGTGCCTGATTATCACAGGTTGATAGTGCTGTGTGAATCCCAAAGGGGTAGACAGCCAGCACTGAGCTGGAAGCAGAAAATTATATATGTATATATACATATACACACATATGTATGCACACAATATAATATAAATTATAATATGTATATTCTATATTATATATACATACATATACACATATACATGTATATACATATGTATACACAGTGGAATACTATTTAGCTGAAAAAAATGGTCATATTTGTTACTTGTGACAATATGGATTGACCTAGAGGTTATTGAGTGTAGTGAAACAAACCAGGTGCAGGAAAGCTGACACGCAGTGTTTTTTTTTCCATATGTGATATATGGCAAAGACAGAAAACAATAATAAATGTTCATACTCTAAAGATCAAAACAGCTCTGCTTTGCCTTATCTGTCTGTTCTCTTCATGTTTGTTTTGAGAATTTTGTTTCAAACATGAAACCATGATAAGTGAAATATCTTAAAGGAGATAAATGGGCAAAGGATATGAATAGTTTTCTAGGAAAAGGTCATCTGTGTCAACATGCAGTATTTTCTATATACACATATGCCCAGACAGTGACTGCTACCCACCTATCTTAACCACTGTGTAAGTGAAGAAATGCTCAATAAAATGACCAGATTTAACATTTCTACTTCTTAGAGTTGTGCTATGGAAATAGACAATTCAGCATAGATTTTATTTATTTATTATTATATTTATTTATTTATTTAAATTTTTATTAGTGAAACACCATGAGGTACAGTTATATGCTTATAAATTTTTGTGCTTGGGTTTCAGTTATACAATGATCAAGTACCCATCCCTCCACCAGTGCCCATTTTCCACCACCGTGGGTCTCAGTATCCCTCCCACCTCCCCCATCCCCCCCATCCCTCCCTGCCTCTGTGGCAGGGCATTCCCTTTTGTTCTCTTTCTCCTTTGGGTGTTGTGGTTTTTAGCATAGATTTTAATCTTCTTAATTGATACTTTCTAAAATACTCCAAAGCTTTCTGCCTCACCCTAGCACAAGAACGTATGTACCATAAATATTTTTTTTGCACTATGAATACATATATGTACATGTGTATGTTTACTGTGAAGAAATTTGCGTGGGAAAAAATGGGAATAACCTAAACGTTTTTCAGTTAAACTGTAGTATATTCACATCGTGATGTTTAAAAAGTCCAAAGCTGATCTTTAGGTAAATCCACAAAAGGGATATATTAGGTGGAAATTGTAAAAGAAAATGCAACATTGTCTTTGTTTCGAGGTAGGGAGCACACGGCAATTTGTATATTAAATTTTCGCTTCTGAGTGAGGGCCTGAAGTAGAATTGTGAGCAGCCTCTAGCCGAGGGTCGTCTCATCCCCGCAGGGTTATTATGCCTCTGTCTCTTGCGTTCAATTTTTCAAAAGCGTATTTGAGTAAGCAAAAAGCCCTAGAAAACATATTGTAAATTTTAGGTATATTTTTATTAATATTTAAAGAAACTAGTTCAGGAGCTCACTTGTTATCTGGGAGCTGCAGTGTTTCGGGAATGGTTTCTGTCCTGGGGGAGTCTGGGGGGAGGCTCTCCTCTCGGTGCCGAGACAGTGATGAAAAGCACAATAACGCCACTCTCCCCCGTGTTCTTTCAGAGTGTGGTAAATGGACTTGGAGCGCAGGACTCTCGCTCTTCTGTGTCCTTGAAACAGAAAACCTTAACTTTATGCTAGATGGGCTTATTATTTGGGGGGGGGGGCTCGCATGTATCAGCGTCACTTTTTGTGTTGCTCAGTTTCTTGAGAGCAGAGGAATTCACACCGTTTTCTTCGATCTTTCAGGAAAGCCCAAGAGGAGAACAAGAAAATTGTGCTCGCTGGCTGCGTTCCTCAGGCTCAGCCTCGCCAGGATTACCTGAAGGGACTGAGCATCATCGGGGTAAGCCGGTCTCCGAGGGGAAGGAGGAGAGAAACGTCAGGGCCAGTGGTAGCTCCGCAACGCCTGGCTTGTTTCTCCGTTACTCTACAGTGACGCCCCCTCTGACTGTCCCATCAGATTGTCTGTTAGCTTCGAAGCTTTGTCGTGTCAGTATAATGCTCTCCTCTCAGCACAGAAACCCATTCTCCATTTCCATTGCCTTGTTAGGGGGGCGGAAAAAAAGAAAAGAACGAGACAGACAGAGAGAAAGAAGAAAAGTGGTTGCCATAGAGGCAGGCAGGGGGTAAGGGTGGGGGTCGGGGGAGATGGGAGGGAAGATTGGAGACACTGGTGCTGGGAAATGCACACTGATGGAGGGATGGGTGTTGGAACACTGACTGAAACCTAATCACGAACAGCTTTGTAAGGGTCTATTCACAGTGATTCAATTAAAAAAAAACTTAAAGAAAAAAAAAGGAAAACAAAACGAAGATGATAAAAAGTCCCTCTCTTGCCATATCATGATGATATTCCCACTTCTGAAGACGTCACTCCCCACGTGGAATGCTCCATTCCCTAACGCCCGTCACCCCGACTCCAGCCCTGACAGGCCCCCCATTCCTAGGCGTGCCTCCTCTCACCAGGCCTCCTGTGCCCAGTCACCCCTGTCCTGACCTCCCGTTGCTTCTGTCCAGTGACCGGCCGTTTGCGCTCAGCGTTCCACGGAACTGTGGTTTGGGTTGAGTGTGTGTGAGCTTTTGGAATAAAGTCCACCTTCCTCCTCTAGTTCTTCTCCCCGTGGTGACATCCTTTCCCTCTTCCTATCCTCCCCACCTGTCTTCAGCTTCTCTGAGGATGCCTGATACACATACTCCGTAAAGGTGTGGTGTCCGGCTGGGGGTTGGGGGGAAAGAGTGTTGGTTTATGTTTTTGTGGCTAGCTGTCAGCTAGGTGAAGTTTAGAGATTCTTGTCCATTCTGTCTGTTCCTCTGTGTGGCCGTCACTACTCACTGCTCAGAGGCGGTGGACGTCCGGCTAGGAGTTATTGGCCAGATGCTGGGGCTTCATCTTTTCAAGTATTGTTCTAAAGTGATATTCAAGTGTGTTAAGAAAAGGCGCTCTGGGACTGGAGAGAAAGTCTAGGGGTTAAGGTGCTTTTCTTGCACGCGACCAACCTTAGCTTGATTCCTGGTACCGAGTATGGTCCCCTGAGTACTGCCAGGAGTGATCCGTGACCACAGAGCCAGAGGTAGAGGAGACCCTGAAGACTTGCAGGTGTGAACCCACCTCTACCACCCCCACCAAATGAAGGAAATAGAAAGGGTTTGAGGGGGAACAGAGAAGATAGTACTGCAGGTAGGGCACTAGCCTTGCATGCAGTTGACCCGGGTTCGATTCCCGGCATCCCATTTGGTCCTCCAGGACTGTCAGGAGTGATTCCTGGAGTAACCCTGAGCACTGCCCGGTATGGCCCCCCAAACAAAAAGCCAAACCAAACAAAAAAGGACTTTTAGAAGGGGGCATGCAGTCAGCTCAGAGAGGACCTCGGGGCCTCTCCTGGTAATTCTCAGCCCAGCTAGGAGACTCTGAGAGCTGAGTGCCGGAGCCCACCATGGGGGTCTTGGCAGGCCCATCGAGTGCTGAGGTTCAAGCTCGGTACCCCCATCCAGGCAAGCACTCCAACGCTTTGCATGATCTCACTGGTCCCCTTACCACCTTTCCCAGTTAAAGCACGTATATATAAACATGTTGTAAATTCATAGGAAAAACTTAGGAGTGATTGGCACCTACACTGATATTTATTGGATTTTTTTCCTGACTAGATTCACCAGTGACGAGCTTGCCTGCTGTGTTCAGAGAGTGGTAAACTTATTTTCTGCTGGGAAGCCCTTGCCCCATTCGCAAATTTAATAATCTCAGGACAAACATGCTCGTGTTAAACAAACAGAACCTGAATGTTTGGGAACTGTAGTTTGTTTTCACCATTTGTCTGTTTATATTTTGATTTCTCTCGGTTGAAGGAATGAAATGACTGTGAACTTCTGAGTTATCTTTTCATGTCAGACTAACTTTCTCCATAAACATAATCCTGCTGTGTTAGGGAAATGGGAGACTCATTCGAATTCTGTTTTAAAGATGGAATGTGGTAAAAGCTTGAGAGTAATCTGTAATTTTGTCTCAGGGAATTATGCTATATACACAAACACACACATATATACACACACACGTGTAACATATACATAACGTATATATACATATATGTAACATGACAAAACTTTTTTTTTCCTTTACTATAGTTGAAGCCTTTTAAATATGTTCATTATGGCATATTTTCCTGGACTCATGTGGTCACTGAAGAGCTCAATATATTTTAAGATTGGGGAAATTCTTAAGATTATATAAAGGAGGGTACTCACAGCTTATGTGGAAGATGATGTCCAGGATGATATAAAAACATGAGCATAGTGTATAAACATTACTTCCTCCCACATCCCCCATTTCATCAGACATTATTTTCATTCTGTGATCTGGTCTCATTTAATTATTTTATCTTCGATGGTCACATTTTTCCTTCAGTGCAAACTTATTGGGCCATCACTCTGTTGGGCGGTAGTCTAGACATCTGTAAAGTAGATTTACCTTTCATGCATGGAGCTAACATTCTAATCCTCCAAATAGTACATTAGTAAGTAGTTAAGTCCAGCTATGGCTAAGTGCTGTAAGTGGACTAAAATAGGACGATATGATGGAGGGTGAATGAATCTTTTAGATCAAGTGAAATGTCACTGAGGAAGCAACACAGTGAACAGAAATACCATGTTCCTGACCCTCAACTAAGAGGAAACAGTACTGAGTATTCAGCGCTATTCTTTTTGGGAAAGGGAAGGGAAGAGAAGGCCCCAAGACAGAAACAAGTTGGGAGCGTTCAAGGAATCGAAAGAGTCCCAGTGTTGCAGGAGTGCAGGGTGCGAGGATGGGCCAGGGCAGATGTGAGGGTAGAGAGAGCATGGGGTCCCTAGGGCCAAGTTTAGATTTTGTAGTAAGGATAATAGCGAGATACTGGAGGTTTGTACACATAGTCATAATGTCCAACTCAGAGACCAGACTGATAGTACAGCAGGTAGGGCATTTGCCTTGTGCGCAGATGACTTGTGTTCGATCCCAGCATCCTGTATGGTTCTCCAAGGACTGCTGGGAGTAGTTCCTGAGTGAGGAGCCAGGAGGAAGCGCTGAGCATCACTGGGTATCACCCAAAAAGGAACGAAACAAAAAGACAGAATAAAATCGAATTTAGAGTTTTTTTTTAGCACAGCGGGTAGGGCGTCTGCCTTGCATGCAGCCAACATGGCCGACCCGAGTTCGATTCCTCCGCCCCTCTCGGAGAGCCCGGCAAGCTACCGAGAGTATTCGATATGCCAGACACAGTAACAACAAAGTCTCCAATGGAGACGTTACTGGGCCCGCTCGAGCAAATCGACGATCAACGGGAGGGCCTTTACTTTACTTTATTTTTACTTTAAGGTCAGTTTATTCATTTTTGATGTATGGCTTGGTGATTTGATGTAAATGAACATCCTGTGAGGGAAGAGTCAAGGTCCGAGATACCATGTAGGAAAAAGGGAAGCAAAGAGACCCTCAAGGAGAATGGTTCCAAACCTGAGTGGCTGGTGGGTTAGGAGCCAGTGGGAGGTAGACAGGAGTCAGATGTTCTTTTACATTATTAAGTGGGATTGGTGTTTTAATTGAGTGCAACTTCTCCGGTGAAATAAGTTCTCATTATGTTAGCACTGGGTAGGGCATTTGCCTTGCATGTGGCCGACCCGGGTTCGATTCCTCCGTCCCTCCCGGAGAGTTCAGCAAGCTACTGCGAGTTTCTCATGGCAAAGCCTGGCAAGCTACCCGTGGCGTATTCGATATGCCAAAAACAGTAACAAGTCTCATGATTTGTTGTGAGACGTTACTGGTGCCCGCTCGAGCAAATTGGTGAAAAACGGGAGGACAGTGCTGCAGTGTTACGTTAGCTCTCTCGTAGAGCAACTGTCAAAATTATAAACTATAAAGTAAACCCACAAACTCCAAGTATCTGAAGTCACTGAAGTGCATAGAAATGTAAACAGATTCTGGAAGGATGTCAAGAGAAAGTGATACAGGGTGACCTTTCCATTTTCAATGTCTGGTTCAAGGTCAAGACATATTCATCTGGTAGAACTGAATATCCAGTTGCAAGCATCTTCTTGACCTTGGAACATCACATGAGGCTTTGACACAACCAGAGCAACTGAAAATTTTAGGTAGCACTTCAGTAATTAGAGAGCTTAGGAAGTAAGGGTGATGGGAAGGTCAGAACAATTTTTTTTTTTTAAATAGAAACTATGTCTAAATATTTTACTGACCCCTAAAGTACCTACACACAGGTCAGACTAAAAGCATCCTGTTAAAGATCAGAGGAGAAATTTGAACTTTTACTCAGAAAACAGATTTTGTTGTGTGAGTCCAAGTGAGTGAAGAACCTGAAAATAGAGAAATAAGAAGTAACTTTTTTCCCCAGAGGAATAAAATAGAATGCAGAGGAAGACTCAAAATAAGATATATAAAAGCAACTGGGATACTATCCAAACTTATTAAACAGGAGAAGAATTAGGATGATATGACCCATTATTAAGAACACAAACAGTCATAAAACACCAGAAAATCAATACAGACTAGCCTTGGTTTGAGCCAAGGGTTGAATTTAACAAAATAATGTCGTTATCTATTATAATTGCATTCGATGATGGAGTGGAAAATGTTCTAATAATAAATGAAGACATAAAAGATATCAACCGAGAAATAAGTTCTATTTAAAAAGAACCAAATACGAATTTTGAAACTGAAGAATATAAAATCTGGGATTGAAAAATGCTCTCGACTTAACAGAGTATAAATGACAAGGAAGGAAGCAGGAAATCTGAAAATACAGGATTCTCATTGCTTTCTTCCAAATTTTGATTTTTGAGGGTAGCTTGCTACTTCTGGGTGGA